ATGCAGCAAAAGAAGACAAAAATGATGACTTAGCATGATTGCCACTCACCGACCAGCAAATGCGCCACACTTTCAGCTGATGCAAATTTCATCCATACATAAAAATGGTGCTTAAAATGTGTTAACAAATAAAATGAAATAAATAACTTTCTCAAAATTCTGCTCTAGTTGTCTATAGATGAGAATGCGAGTGTGTTGTTTGTCTCCAGCAGGGGTCACCAACATTTGTGAAACCGAAAACTACTTCTTGGGTACCTGTAATCTGGTTTAATCGGAGATTGCCTGATAAGAAGAAACCATTTTTCAGATTTTTCTTTTCCGTCGTATTTAAATCATCTGATTTGCAACAAATCACTGATGTAATACATTGGTGAGCAACTGTTGACATTGCAAACTGAGGCAGGTAAATTGTTCTTCAACTATCATTAACAGTTCTAGTAAGGACTGCTAGTTTGACACACAATTCTGAAATGATAAATCTGCTCAGATTACTTTAAATAATGAAATGGTATTACTAATATTCATATACAGTACAAACTTTGTAGATGAGGAAGTCCAAGCAAGCAAGGAGAAAGGTCACAGCGACACAACAGTCAAACTCAATTCACCAATTATGTGCCAAAGAGGCCTAACCGTACAGACGCAAATTCTCAAGTGTTCCATGAGTTCACATTTCGAAATTCTTTGGATTTTGTTGCTGGGAAAACCAGGCGTCTGGGCAAATAAAGGAAAGGAACATCCAGACTGTTTTGTGCAAATTTCAGAAGCCAGTTGGTATGGGGTGTGTTAGTGCCCATGGCATAAGTAACTAGCAGGTCTTGCAAAAACAACAACAACAACAATAAATTATCAGTTAGAACATTAAATATCTAGAATTTGTAGTGTGTGTATTCAATTAAATGTAGGCTGAAAATGACTTACAAATCGGGCACAGTCTCGGGACTGATGCGGTCCTTGGGGCCAATGGCTAACTGCTGCCCGCGGGCACTATGTTGGTGGACCTTGGCCAAGCTTCTTCCAATACTAATCATTGTTTGTTGTATGTTCCTGAAGTCTCGATAACTCGTGGCACCATATCTTGCCTCTCACAGGTCAGCCTGGACGGATGGAGACTTTACCATTTCTATGTTTAAAATGTGACGTGAGGAAAACGATGCCTGGTGTCTTGGACTGTCGATTCCAAAACAAAAGTCACCCGGGATAGGTTCCAGCTCATCCACGACCGAAGTGGAACCCAAGCAGCATAGAAAATGCATAGGGGAAATGAGTCACTTCATTTTTTTTCCCTTGAAAAGATGCGATTAAAAGTAGCTGCGATATAAATCAACCCAATAACGTGATAATATAACTATTGCGCCATCGTTTGGTTAAATGTGAAAAATTGCCTGGGCAACCTTCATGGAGGGGGAACCCACTCCGGAAATATCTCGTCTATTGCTACAAAACTAGCTAAATAAATAAAATACAAGATAATACATAGATAGATCGATAGATAGATCGACAGATAGATTATATTTCGAAGTGAAATTGCATAGGCACACAAGATGATCTCTCATGGCACATGGGCTGGTAATAATTAATGTTGACAATTATTCTTAGCAGATTCTTAGGCAGGGTCAAAATGGGTTTTGTACTTTTACTTTGAAACATCAAAGCGGAATCTACCAATCTGTGCTTTCCTGTAGGTGGCAGTGTTAGAACAGCCTGCCAGGCAAGCGAGCCTCACAGGCAGGACTGAAAAGTGGGATGGGAGTAAACGAGTGTCACAGTTTTGTGTTTACGCTCGCTGACCGTGCGAGCAGAGCGGAGCCGAAGGAGGGAGGAACCTAAAGAGCTCGTAGCCGAGTCGAGACACACTCCGCCCGGACACAGAGGAGCCCCCTGCTCAGCGGGGTTCTGGAAAATGGGAGCGGTGAAGTGAAGCGGAAAAACGGTCAGAAAAGAGCGCGGACACTCTGGATGAAAGGCGAGTAAAAAGCTAGCGTGAGTTTTAAAAAGATGAAGTTGTTGCCACAACTTTCTTCGACTTTTATTATCTTTTCTAGAAGACGCGTTGCTGTTGCAGAAGTTCGGTTCCAAAAAAAAAAAAGCAAAAAGGAAAAAAAAAAAAGAAAGCAAACCCTCGGAGCTCAATGGTCATCTCGGGTTTCAATTGGCCTCTGTGTTTTAAGAAACTACCACGCTGCGCGACCACTCTAACGACCCCACAATGACATCCGAAGCTCGGACAACTTTGTCTGGTATCGTTCGGGACTACGTTAGTGTATCAGTTCATTGAAGGTGATCTCCATCGAGCAAGTTGCATGTTTGATGTGCTGTCTGCCACGTAGAAGAATAGAGAAAGGTGATCTGGAAGCATTTGTGTGTACGCTTGCAGATAGATAATGGACCACTTCCCTGAGGGGCCCCGAGTCTGAAGAATTTAGCACTTCTACAGACAAGCTTCACTGTGACAATTCCAATCAAACTCAAGTGCAAGTGAATTTTAAGTGAATGTGTGTTATAGTTGGTTGATTTGCACTTTTTTAAACATGTAGTGGGGAAAAAAGGAAACTCTACAATGTAAATAAACATCCCACATTGCGACACCACATACGAGGAATCCGAAAAGTATCAGCCTGTGCAAATTGTTGCCTTACTTGCATACAAGGTTGATATTTGTCAATGGAGTCAAACTTGCAGTATGGTTACCAAGTGGTTAGCACATCTGCCGCACAGTTCTGATATTCGGTGTTTGAATCTTGGCTCCGACATTCCTGTGTGGCATTTCCATATTCGTCCTGCGCTGAATAAAATTGACTTGACTTTTTCGGCGGAATTCCAAGTGTCACCGTACGAATTTTCACCTTAGTAAAGTTAACGCAGAGTGTTGTTTTCACATCTCATGAGAAGCAGTGCTTACCCTCCTTTTGAGTCTGTATGAGACTTAAGAATGTCAATGTAGTTGGTAAAAGCTTTTATGATGGTGACAGTTGCACGATAGTACGGATTAATTCTATTTCTATTGTTTACTGTGAGAACAACGGTTTGTGAACGTTTAAATTCGAATCCAGTCATATTGTCCGACGTGTCTTTGCTGAACCTTTCATCATTTTCCCTATCGTCTCCTTGTTTGCCGTCTGATTGTTTAAAAAAAAAACATTTAAGCTCCATCCGTTTCATTGAAAGCCTCAAGGATCCATTTCGAGTCACGCATTAATGGGACTCAACAGGATTGAGCCTGGCATTCATCGTCTAAATGAGCAGTTTTCCAGCCTGGAGATCACAGCGATGTGATGTGATGTGAGTGCAGGCGGAGTGCACCGAACAAAGGTTCATTGAGTTTGGTAGTAAATGAATATAGCTGCGTTAACACTAACTGACCTTAAATAATTTCTTCGGCTACCTGTGCCACACATTTCAAGTAATAAAAATTTGGATTACTCTAAAGATGTTATTGATTGTATTTGCACTGACAATAACTTGATTGTCGCATCCATGAAAGTTCACAAACATTCATAAAGGCCTCAACTAGCTCAATGCTGATGTTCCTCGGAGGACCAAAGTTGTGTTTTCACTTTCCTGAGATAAAAAGGCCTGGAAAGTGAGAGGGTGTCGTTGGGGCATTCTTTCGCAGGCAGGTGTCAAGTGGGTGGGGAGTGGTGGGGTTGATGTTCTTGTTCTCTCTACACCGTCATTCGATTGCATGTGCGTTAAAGGCCGTATGGTGTAAAGGGGGAGATTTGTCGGCGATGGGGAGGACACACGCCTGGTAGGGAGGGAATGTTCCGTCCTTTGCCAGAGCAGATGGAGCAAAGGTTGAAGGAAAGGTGAGCGCGGCTTCCAACTCAGCCAGATGATGAGCTGCCTCGGTCATTTTTTTACACTTTTTGTTTCACTGGCACTTTCCTGTGTTTAGTCAGCATATGGCCTCTCTTGTGTTTTTCCAAGGAGGGCGGGTCTGCCCAAACTCTTCGTCTGTCATCTCAAGGCCCATTAGAGTTATCTATGAAGGCATGTGCATCTGGTGCAGCCATCGCACTACCTCTGCGTCCCGCGTCCTAGACGCATAATTTTTCCGCCAGACGCACAGTTCCAAATAATGTGCGTTTTTGGGACGCAAGGAAATTTCTTGCCTACGGTAAATCTTTTTTTCCAGCAACGAACGCAGTTTGACAATCTCCGCCATTGTTGTTTTGATCTCGCGTTAAGTAATCTCATGTGACGAGATTTCTGTTCTCGTAAGACGAGATTGGCGAGATCGGCCTTCGCTTCGTGGAAAGCAGACGATTGCCAAGTTGTGCAACATTAAAACAAGTGCTGCGAACAAGTGTTGCGAAAGTTTATTGCGGAGATATGAACTCAAAGACTGAACCATGGGATGAAACAAGAACCTATTTCTCAGCAAATCTTGTAAGTCTGAATTATTGACATTTTTGCAGCATTTCTTTATAAGAAATAAACCTATTATCAATGTATGTTGTTGTTGTTTGTGTTATTATCATATGCAATTGAATAAGTAGACCATTTCAGAATTTGAAATTTGGGACTCTCTAAATGCATAATCGAACTCATACTTTTCTGATCAGCGAGTCTCTGGGACTCGCAGGGCCCAAACTGTAAAATTATCACTGCTAGTGCGGTTCCAAATTAGGATGGTTCAATTTCGTGAACATCCGTGCTCGTTGTTGGATGTCTCTTTTGTCATATAATGATGTCAGGCTTTCAGACGGGATCGACTGCAGAGCCCCACCAGACAGTCATTGTGGTTAACGTCTTTATGTTTTACGACTACGGTTTAAGTGCTTGGCCCGTGTAAAAGTCTCCCAACAACGGACGAGCTGGTGAAAAGTCCAAAAGCTGACTGTTCCCATTTCAAGTTTGTAGTTAGCGGCCTGAAACGACCTGTTGCACACCCACAGCCACTAATGTTTGGAGTGCAGGGGTCAAAAGAAAAACAGTACAGAGGTACGAGTAGTGGACTTTGAGCAACAGCGAACTAGTTGCGCTCCATATAACATCAGCCTCTTCCATAAAAGGCCGGTAAATAACCTGAATACCTGTCTAATAACCCGAGTACATTATTTTAATGCATTGCCTGTCAAGTGAACAAACAACATTTCTTTCAAGGGCCTGGCTTGTTATTTGCTGATCCAGTGCCTTTTCAAGCTGTCAGCTTGTTACGTTGCCAAATGCGGCCGTTGTTTCTCAAAGAAGAGAAGTGGCGTTTTATCTCTTTGGCCTGCTGTGTCATGGCAGGACGACCCAACCGTGAGACTTCCTTTCCCCTTCTCACCTCACTTTTCATGTGAACGACAGTTAAGGTGTGAAAGCTGTCTCCGTCTGTCCGTTCCTCCCTGCACAGTCGTGCACGCAAGGCGACTGCGAACGCCACATAGTAAGGCTACAAGGGCATTTTCTTCTCCATTAAAAAAAAAGCTTTTGGTCGTTATCGTTTCTAGAGAACATGATGTGCTTGATAAGAATTGACCTGGAACAGGGAGGCTTGGTAAATTTGTGTGTGTGTGTGTGTGTGTGTGTGTAAAAAGGTAGTAAATGAAAAAATAGAAAGGGCATTCTAAGTTGTTGAGGGGTATTCCATTTGGTTAAATTTGACCTTGTAAGTGCCACTGTCAGACATTGGGGCGTCGTCATAAGTAACGTGCTGTGTTTGCAGAACATAATGGCGCTCTTCCTGTGGCTTGACCTGCTGCTATTGCTGCTGGCGGGCGTCCGGTGCACCTCGGTCAAGAACTGCCACGCAGGCTGCCGTTGCGAGGTGGAAAGCTTCGGCCTGTTTGACAGCTTCAGCCTGACCACAGTCGACTGTCGAGGGTTGGGTCCCGGCGCCATCATACCTGTGCCCATCCCGCTGGACACGGCCTTCCTGGACCTGTCCTCCAATGCCTTGGGCCACCTGACTGACAACATGCTGGCCGGGCCCGGTTACACCACCCTCGTTAGCTTGGACCTTAGCAGCAACCACATTACAATGGTGAGTCAATCGAAACCAACACGATTCATTGCATCACAAACGGTGGCAACCACATGATAGATATGTGCCCTTGGTTGACTTCTGCTTTTAAGAGACATCTCCGAATGTGGCTCAGTTTTTTTAAATCCTGTTTTTAGTTTTTGTTGCTGAAGATTCTGTTACCCGTGTGTTGTTTTCCAGGTAAGCCCCAATGCTTTGTCCAAGCTGCGTTACCTGGAGACTCTCGACCTCAGCCACAATGACTTGGAGGGCCTCCCGCCGGGCTGCTTCTTTGGCCTCCCTCTGGCCGAAGTGGACCTCAGCCACAACAACCTCCGCGACTTCAACATGGGCGCGTTTGTGGCGAAAGTCAACAGCAAACCCGTCAGCGTGGATCTGTCGCACAACAAGCTCGTGTCTATTTCCACAACACCGCATGGGAAACTTGTCCACATTCAAAGCTTGAATCTAACGGCAAACCATCTTTCCGGCATACCGAGGCTCGAAGGACTCGAGATACTCCGATACCTCAGTCTGGATGGCAACCCCATCGTTGCCATTGAAGAGGGCGACTTCGCTCACCTGACAGATCTGGTTTTCTTGTCCCTGAGCAGCCTTCGTCAGCTTTGGGGAATCGAGTCGCATAGCTTTAAAGGACTCCAGAGTCTCCAGGTGTTGGATCTCTCCAACAATCCCAAGCTGAAGACGCTAAGGCGATCCATTTTTACCGGACTGGACTCGCTGCAGGAGCTGAATTTATCCGGCTCTGGAGTGACATCCTTACCGCATAACATGCTCTCGCACTTACCCGCGATCAAGAGCATTGCGCTCGGACAGAACATCCGTTGCTTGAGGACCCAGAAACAAGGAGTGTTTCACAGACAGCTGGGACAGTCCCAACACTATGAGGTGCTCAACTGCAACCGGGATAGCCTTGCGTTGTGATCCTGCCAATATGGACCAGTCCTTCGGTCCTTCGTCTTTATACCGGCACTGTGCCTTCGATCACATACCTCTTTCTCAAGCTTTAAGAGTTTTTTTGTTTTTTTTTTTTTTTTTTTTTTGCCTTTACTGATACAAACGGACATAAAACGGTCAATATGTATCCGAAACGTAATGTCATATTCGGATTCTTTATCTGCATACAAACAATAACTTTGTTTTTGCGCTTATTTTCATCACAAATAAAGCAGTCCAAATCTTCATAGAAATGCTGATGAGCTCAATGTTACATAGCTTTTACCACCACTGACCACATGACCACTAAGTTAAGGCATCATTTAAGCCAATTTTGAGGACCGTTCGCATCCTCTCTGCCTTTTTGAGTTCGATGCTCAAAGGAAGCATAAGACTTCTTAGCCGAGGCTTTGCAAATCCATTGACTTGACTGAACGTCAAACGATGAAAAATGTGGTTCCACACCTCACTAGTACTGCATTTTCAGAGCGACGATGGTGTTTTTCCTTAGTTTTATGACCACGCTGAGCTAAGATAGCCAACAACTTCGCCAAAGTCTAATTAACTCTGCGACTTATAGCGTCAGTTCATGAGGTTGATGGAGAAAACGATGTGTACAAAGTATGACGCGGTTTGCTATTGACGTTTGCGAACCAATTTAATTGTGTTTGAAGAACTTGTCAAATGCAAAAAAAAAAAAAAAAAGACCATAATGTGAATGTAATTCCCAAAAGCCATATGTGCTCTTCATTGTGGAAGTTAGTCATATAGCCTTTGATGTGGTGGCTACGTAGCGACGTAGGCGTGAGAGAGTAAACACACTGAAGCCACATTGACCAGCAGTTCACTTTTTGCTGTGCCCGTTTGAATAACGCATGACGCAGGAAGTATGACAAATGAACCTTTTCCTGTGGACGGAAGAAATGTCCAGGCTCAAGGCTGAATTTGAATGTCTACAAAACCTAATGAGGTTCTGGCTTTAAAATGATCACTTCTTTGGTGTTTATTTACAATCAGATAATGTACAGTCCATCTCTGTGGAGACGGACATCGCGATGCTGGATGTATTTTTGCAAATGTACGCAAATCTTTTAATAAATTGAGATTTTTCTCCGATGTTGCCTGCTCATGTTTTGTCTAACCGTGATGTTAGGCGTGTCAGTAGACTCAGTCAAGAGTGGTCACAAAAACACCCACGAGGAAAGACTGTGTCACCTTCCAGTCTATATTTGTCATTGAGATGAAAACGCGTGTGTCGTGGCGCGATGACAACTTTGCAACAGACTGGGTGTGTCTCTCTTCAAAAGAAAGGCACATTTGGATCTGAGCAGATTCGACCATTAGGTTGCAACTCATATTTAGCATGAAGCTAAAGTGAAACCAAATTTAATGTTGTGTCCTGATAAATCATCAGAAATGATCCGTTACATTTTGTTGATAATCTGGAATTTTTTATTTGTAAGATTACACAAAAAAAAAAAAAGCCAACACTATCGTATTTTTCTTGAAACTTTGTGTAGCGGTGGCACATGAAAACCCCCGTAAATTAAAAAAACTTTTTCTTGAAACTTTGTGTAGCGGTGGCACATGAATTTAAATTAAAAAATGCAGATCAGAGTGAACATTTTTTCACTTTCACCTGTTTCAGGCTGTGGAGTCACTTGAAAGTGGCTCTGGATCTTCACCCAGCTTAGCTCATCATGCCATGGGCAGAGAAACAGCACAACAGAAGAACATGCAAAGTCCACATAGGAAAGACAGAGCCGAGATTCAAACCTGGAACTGTGAAGCAGACGTGCTAACCATTAAAGCACCGTGCTGACTGCTGTTAATATACTGTAAAGACATACAAATAAAACAAAAAGCAGTCTTTTGTTCCAGGCAATAACCCAAAATTTATCTTGAATAAGTAGCTGAACAGCCAAAGGAAAAATAAACCAAAGCAGAGATGTAAACAGTGAAATAGTCAGTCCTTTAATGCTCTCTCAAATGCAATTCTGAATTGGGGCCTCGTGAGATGCAGTAGTCTTGATCGCATGCATTCTAAGACCTAATTTTGTGAGGTGTTGCTTTTTGGGAAAGTTGAGAGCAGGACACAAAGACAAGTGGTGTGTTACGGGCCTTAGAAACAGTAAAGTGGGTGCTCGGTGGCGTGCTGGAGTTTGGCTTCTTATCCAGCCAATTTGGTCTGGGATCCTGCCAAGTTGACACGCAGAGAAAGAGGCTTAGACAAATACAAAAGTGCCTCTATGCAAAGCATTCAGTTGATGCCCTCTTTTCTCTTGACAACACCATCTTGAGATCAAAAAAACGAAAACATTCTCACATGAAAAAAAAAACAGGCTTTGCCGATTAAATAAGTTTGGAGGTTTTGACAACGACATCTTTTTTTTTCCGTTCCTTTTTTGGCAGGGAGGTTGGGGACACTAATTCACTTAAATGCTCGGGGAGGTCTTTAAGCAAGACACAACCCCCCCCCCCCCCACTTGTCTCCCACTGGTGTGTGTCTGTTTGTGAAAGTGGCTATTCTGTTGCATGAGTGAGGAGGGTAAATGAGCACTCAGTGGATGACCCCCTTGAAAGTACTTCCAGATGTGTGCGTTTTCTCCTCCAAGCACTTACTTACATGTTCGGACTGAAGACGACCATCGATCACAATGTGCCGCCCCGATCTCACACGACACGTAGTCGCGCAGAAAAAAAATAAAATCCGCGTGAAAACACAGTCTTTTGTGGAATTCACAGCACTGCAAATCAGCTTAGCATACAAAATCTGTTTTGTTTTGACTTTGGGATATGTGCATTACGGTAACATAAATCGTACTTTATTGTGCTGCATCTCAAGGAGAACAGTGCGCTTTCCTCAGTCGAGGACAAATCGTGCAAATAAATTAATTTTTTAAATTCTTGTTTATTTTCAGGAATGCTGGTGATGCCTCACAAAGAAATGCGTTACTTTAGTATGCATATCCAGTTCGACAATAATGATTTTTTTTTGTTTTGTTCATTCGGGAGTGCTGGTCCATTAGCATATGGTGTATGTATGTATGTATGTATGTATGTATGTATGTATGTATGTATGTATGTATGTATGTATGTATGTATGTATGTATTTATTTATTGATTAAGCCAATCACATTTCTGAATCATCACTCTTAGACTTTCCAAGGTCCAAAATGCACTGCCCCGCCTCTAAAACAGATATAAACAACCATTCAAATCAAATTGACACCTAAGGACAACTTTGAGTCTAGAACATGCATGTTCTCCAAATGTGGGACCGGAGTACCGAGTAAAAAACTCATACGTACACCCACCCTCAGAACTGTGAAGTGGATCGGCGAATGTGCTAACTACGAGTCCTGCTCCAGAAAATCACAAATAGAATCCAGTCTGACTGAAATACGTGTAGGTAACTGCTTTTAAAAAAGTGCCCACACAAAAGGCAGCACATTCCACAATGTGGGAGCAACAGACTGCATATCTCTATCAGCATTTTAATCTTGTGTGAAGGACAGCGTGTAAAAAAAAAAAAGCAGACCGCAGTGGCCTAACACAACAATGAAATGACCACCGAGTATGGAGGAGCCTAACCACTGAGGCCTCTCTGTCAGTGACTGTTCATATTTGGTACGCAACGAACATCGAACCAGTGCCTCATAATGCACTCATATGTTGAGTCGAACTTCCCGTGTGGTCGTTTCCCTTCAAATTCAGTAGATTTTACTGTCAAAGCCATTCACAGCCTGACTGACAGGCGCATTGAGAAGAACAAGAAGCCTTTTCTGTTCCCGGTGGACAACGTTGAAAGTGGGTCATGACAAAACTGCAGTGATTTTATTTTTTTTTTCTTCCACCAGATCAAAGGGCTGATAAAACATCGTCTCGTGTCATCACAGGCAGACCGACAACAGTTTGCGGAACAAGACGGAACAAGACTCTTTCCTTGTGGGGATCTATCTCTCTCTCTCTCTCTCTCTCTCTCTCTCTCTCTCTCTCTTTCTCTCGATATATATATATATATATACTAATTCACCATTCAGTTCAACATGTAAACCTGAACTGGATGAAGTCTAAATACAAGCATGATCCCTTTCATCTTAAATGGACTTTGGTATCAACAATCTATTTGTCTTGATGGTATTGATCCGAATGCCTGCTGGCTCATTGGTGATGAAGGGGGCGGATGAACCGTGTCAGCGAATTGTATCTTGGCTCGGACCTTTTTTTTTTTTTTTTTTTTGTTTTTTTTTTACACAAACAAAAGGTT